TGTGTGTGTGTGTGTGTGTGTGTGTGTGTGTGTGTGTTTATGTTGGAAGTTTTGATAGTGCTGGGCATAATACCTTCCCTCTTGGCTATATTGTTCTGGGGGTGGATAGTGGCTTCCCAACCCTTCCATTCATCCATCTAACAAATATTTATTGAACACCTACTAACACTCAGAACTGGAGTTATTTCAGCTTCCTCTTTGTATTCTGGTGAAGGAAACAGATAGTGAGCAAGTAAGCAAATATATATGTATTACAAAGTCAAGTAATATCAAGTGATATGAAGAAAAAAAATGAAGTAGGGTACAGGGGCAGAGAACAACAGGAGAAAGGGGATTGGGTGGTCAGATACGATTTTTTAGAAGTGGTACCAGTTGAGCAGAGACTTGAATGAAATGCAAGAGGGAGCTGGGCCTTCTTTTTCTTTTTCTTTTCTTTCTGTTTTTTTTTTTTTTAGACTGTATTTATTTATTTGAGAGAGAGAGATCACAAGCAGGGAGGAGGGGCAGAGAGAGAGGCAGGCTCTCCACTGAGCAGAGATCCCGATGTGGCACTCCATCCCAGGACCCTGGAATCTTGAGCCGGAGGCAGATGCTCAACTGACTGAGCCACCCAGGCACCCAGGGCCTTGTTTTTCTACGTCACCGTGGTCTCCTCCTGTTCTGGTCCTTTTACTTCATACTTGCCCAGCTCCTGAAGGTATTGGAGTTTTTGACCCCTAAAAGTTTAAGTGAATGATACAACTCTGTGTAACCTGTTGTTTTGGGCTGAACATTTATCTTCATCTTAAACATTTCAAAAAAAAAAAGAGACATATATAGTAAAGTAATCTAAATGTTATTTAATCAAGCTGAAAATTGATATGCTTATTATTTGTCTAGATTATTTTTTTAAATCTGTCACTTACTAGCTAGAAGGTAGACAGTGGTATGTTGGTAAATGTTTGATTACCAGCTCTGGGGGGGGGTGGAGTGGGGGGGAGTGAGTTCTGATTTGTAGTATTTTCCCGTTTCCTTTGTGTAATACTTTCACCATGACTGATTTAAAGCTACAGTATCATTGGACACAGTTGGGAAGAGCTACAGCCAGTTCTTATTAGTCTGTACAAACTGGCTTCTTCACACTGCCAAAGGTAGTTTTATAATCTCCATTTACATTTGAACGTAAACATTCAGAATTGTTACAAGATAACTCAGTAAATTGTGGGCAAGTCTGCAAACATTTTGAAGCCTAGGGATTCTGATGCAATTGGCTTGGGTTGAAGAACTTGGCATCAATTTTTTTTTAAGGGATTCAATTGATTTTATTGTGAAGCCAGAGCTAAGAACCATTGATTTAGTGGATTAAGAATCTTGTATGATGGGGCACCTGGCTGGCTCAGTCGTTAGGCATCTGCCTTCAGCTCAGGTCATGATCCCAGGGTCCTGGGATCGAGCCCCGCATCGGGCTCCCTGCTCAGCAGGAAGCCTACTTCTCCCTCTCCCACTCCCCCTGCTTGTGTTCCCTCTCTCGCTGTGTCTCTCTCTGTCAAATAAATAAATAAAATCTTAAAAAAAAAAAAAAAGAATCTTGTACGGTGCTTCCCAGTTGTCTTAGAAGCTCCTTCAAAATTACTTTTTCTTATAGATGTGGTAGACAAGGGACAAGATATTTGACTTCAGGGAAGGAATAGAATCCACGTGTCATATTTCAGGACACCACAAGGTCTTGATTTACCGTGGGACGTACCCAGGAGGGAAAAGACCAGGAACTAGAACTATACTCCCATTGGATTAATATAGAGGGACAAAGAGCTGGGGTCAGGGCTATGTGGGAATGAGGAGAGAGTTGAAAGAAGTCTAGTCTAACTGACAGAATGCATTAGCTAAAGCATGTGACAGTGGGCAGTTTGAATCTCCACTGCAGTAGTAGACTCTCATGCTGACACCCTGGACACTTGCTGTGATTGAAAGCTTGGGGTTTGGATTCAGGCTGCCTGGGATAGTTCTATTATTTATGATCTTTAAGAAATGAGCAAGTGGTTTAGCTTTTCTAAGTCTCATTTTCCTCATCTGTAAGATGGGGGTGATAATGTCTACTCCATCAGGTTGTTAATTTCATAAAAACCCCACTGTGCTCGGACATTTAGAGATCAAGTAGAAGAGGAAGAGCCAATAAAAGAGACTGGAAAGCAACAGGTAGTCTATCAGAAGCCTGAAGAAGAATGTTACAAGGAAAGTATGGCCCTCTGTCAAATCTGCCAAGAGTTTAATGCACACAAAGAGAAGTGATGACTGGGCTTTTTGGCAAGGTGGAGTGATCCTGATAAGCGCAGATTCAGTGAAGTGATGGGAATGAGGTCTGATTAGCACGGAGGTGAGATGAAACTGTGAGGTGAGGAAGGATAGACATCAATTATAGAACACTTATAAGAGTTTTGGGGGAAACGGTAGGTTGAGAAATGGAGTGGCATTTGGAAAGGATGTGAAGTTAAGAGAGTTTTTTTCCGCTGGAGTATTATAGTGTCTCTGTATATGTTGAAGGGAATGGTCCCCTGGAGAGAGATTAAATGATGCAGAGGAAAATGTGACAATTTCCAGGAGATTGATACATGAAATAATTGAAAAGATGAGAAGGGTGGGATCCAGTGCTCAAATGGAGGAGTTGGCCTTGGCTAGGTGTGGGGATGCTTCATTGACTATAATAATAGTAAAAGCAGAGAGTGTGTATAAAAGTAGGTAGGTAGGTTGGTGGACTTAGTGGCTGGAAAATAAGGGAGTTACTATCTGATTGCTTATGTTTTCTGTAGGCAATATTATCAATTGAGAATTGGATGTTGGTGATCATGGAAACTAAATTAGGTACATTAGTAGATTGTGATATTTGAAAAGAAAGGAAAAGTCATGGAATTGAAGAATGGAAGGCTAGGGAAATGAAGTAGGATTCCTGTGACGAGATTGTACTTGAGATTAGTGGGTAAGAATTTAGGAGTATGGAGGTGACTGGGTGGCTCAGTTGGTTAAGTGTCCGACTCTTGATTCTGGCCCAGGTCATGATCTCAAGGTCATGGAATTGAGCCCTGCATCAGGCTCTGCACTCGGTGTGGAGTCTGCTTGAGATTCTCTCTCTCCCTCCCCCCCACACTCCCTCTGCTTGTGCACGCATGTGTGGGCTCTCTTTCTCTCTAAAATAAATAAATAGATCATTATGTAAAAGAATTTAAGAGTATGTTAGTTATATGCAGTATGTTAGTCTCTGTAGTCAGGGTAGACTAGCTTTTCCTGCAGCAGCAAATAACGCCTAAATCTGAGTGACTGAATATAATCAAGATCTCCTTCTTGCTCAGACAACATGTCTAACAGGAGGGTCCCTGCTCTGCCTAGCTTCTCAGGAAACTGTGTGTCAAGAAGTGTAAAGAGGCCAGAGCACTTGGGTGGCTCAGTCAGTTAGGTGTTTACCTTTGGCTCAGGTCATGATCCTGGGGTCCTGAGATCGAGCCCCGTGTCGGGCTCCCTGCTCTGGGGGGAGCCGCTTCTCCCTTTCCCTCTGCCCCTCCCCCCAGGCTTGTTCTCTCTCTCAAAAAAATAAAGTAAAAAAAAAAGTAAGAAGAGGCCATTTACTCTACTTGCAAGCTAACAAGTTAGCCAACCATGGTATCATGGACATCATGGACACTAGCAGAAGACACTTCTGGATCAGACACAGGGGACTTTAGTACTCACAGGAGGAGCGGTAGCCAGAGTGTCCACATTTGTGTAGATTCCCCAAGTCCCCGTTCCACAGGGAGATGCTAAGCGCACCAAGTGACACCTGCATAAGCTGTGAGTTGTGTTATGGACGAATCCTGCACTTAGGGAACCCAAACCTTTTCTCTTGGGCCAGAAGCATGCCTTACTCTCTCTATGTTTTAAAGCAAGCCATAAGCAAACTAGCCCCTTGCTCCAAAGGAGGATATTAGCTCTCTTTTTTGACACAGTTGACTGTGCCAACATCCTGGAAAAGATGGTCTAGAACAAAAGCAGTCAGTGCTTCTGCTTATAAGTTGTACAGAAATGGGGGTGCCTGGGTGGCTCAGTCAGTTAAGCATCTGCCTTTGGCTCAGGTCATGATCCTGGGGTCCTGGGCCCCTTGTATTAGTTTGCTAGGGATGCTGTAATAAAGTAAGCTGGTTGGCTTAAACAAAAAAATTTGTCTCAGTTTTTGAGTCTAGAAACCCTAGATCAAGGGGTCGGCGGAGTTAGTTTCCCCTGAGGCCTTGTTCCTTGGTTTTTAGATGGCCATCTCCTCCCAGTGTCTCCACGTGGTCTTTCCTGTATCATATCTGTATCCAAATTTCCTCTAAGGACACCAGTCATATTGGATTAGAGCCCATCCTAATGACCTCATTTTAATTACCTCTTGAACGATCCTATCACCAAATATAGTCACATTTTAAGGTACTATGGGTTAGAGCTTCAACATGTAAATTTTAAAGGATTACAATCCAGCTACAACACTGCAACATTTCAACACATGGCTTCCAGGGTTGATAAAATGGGAAGAGAGCACCTGGAAGGTGACACGGGAGCTTTTCACCAACTCTGGCCCAAGGAACATACCATCACTTCTGCTTTCAGTACAGGGGACGGACCTCATCTAAACTGCAGCCAGACTGGGATGTGTTTGTATCCATGCACTCAGATAGGAGGGGAAAACCAGATGTCGATGAGCACTAGCCATGTCTCCCACAGCATAGTTGTGTGTTTCTCTCCAGTACTCTTCAGCTGTTCAGGTGCAGAAATGGAACAGATAGCAGGTGGGTTTAGTCTCAGAATTAGGATTCTGCCAGCTAGTCTGATGAGGAAAGAGAGTGGCAAGGGAGGTAAAGGTGTTTGTGTAGAAGGGATTTCAGAGGTGGACTATAGGATCTAAACTGGGTAAGGAGTGGAGTAAGGGAATAAGGGATGTTTATATGAAAAGCTGGTAAGAACAGTAGATTGGAGGACTCGATGAGGTTGTAGAATTTCAGGACTGGGAGAATTAGAGCAGGTGAGTTGGATGGATGAGGTGGTGGTCAGACGATGGGATTTTGGGGGGGGCATTTCCTTTTTTATTTAAATTCAATTAATTAACATATAGTGTATTATTAGTTTCAGAGGTAGAGTTCAGTGATTCATCAGTTGCATAGAACACCCAGTGCTCATTCCATCATGTGCCCTCCTTCATGCCCATCACCCAGTTACCCCATCCCCCCCACCTCCCCTACAGCAACCCTCAGTGTCTTTCCTATGCTTAAGTGTCTCTTATGGTTTGTCTCCTCTCTGATTTTGTCTTGTTTTATTCTTCCCAGGTTTTCTTTTTTTTTTTTTTTTTTTTTTTTTTACTAACCAGAATCATGCTCTATGTATTGTTCTTTGATGTGATTGTTGGAGATGTTCTCAGCCTAGCACACTCCTTTTATCCATTCTGTATTCCACAGAAATAGTGTCACTGTTTGGGTTGCTTCATTCTGCTGTTATAATTATACCTACTTTTGTGCACAAACTAGAGCACCGGGGCTGGAATTTGAGGGGAAGAGTGCCAGTTTGAGCCCTTGGCAATCTGAAGTGAAGGCGTGTTGACTTGGCATTGAGCAGGTGGCAGGCCGTGCATGCTGACTTGGGCAGGAGGGCGGCTGGACTGTGAATTTTGGACCCAAAGGCCAATGGCATCATGTGTGACAGGGACGTGGCTGGTTTTGCTTTTAACTTTTGTTTTTCTGGGAAACTCTCTCTCTCCTTCTATTCTAAATGAAAGCCTTGCTGGATAGAGTATTCTTGACTGTAGATTTTTTCCTTTTAGCACTTGGAATTTATCATGCTGCTCCCTTCAGGCCTGCATAGTTTCTGCTGAAAAACCCACTGATAGCCTTATGGGGTGTCCCTTGTATGTCATTGCTTTCCTTTCTCTTGCTGCTTTTAAAATTCTCTCTTTATCACTACTTTTGGCCATCTTATTTACTTTGTGTCCTGGTGCAGACCTCTTTGGGTTGGTTTTGTTTGGGGGTCTCTGTGCTTCCTGGATTTGGATTTTTCTTTCCTTCCCCAGATTCAGGAAGTTTTTAGCTATTATTTCTTCAGACAAATCTTCTGCCCCCTTTTCTCGCTCTTCTCCTTCTGGGATCCCTATCATACGACTATTACGCTTGACAGTGTCGCTGAGTTCCCTGGGTCTATTCTCATTTTGTGTATTTTTTTCCCCTCTCATCTGCTCAGCTTGATTACTTTCCATTACTCTGTCCTCCAGGTGGCTGATCCGTTCTTCTACTTCCTCTTGTTTGCTATTTATTTGAGGTGGTCTATTTTTATTTCCATTTAGTGAGTCTAATAGCTCTAATTGGTTCTTTTTTACATCTCCTATCTCTTGATGGAGAGTCTCATGGAAGTTTTGCACTCTTTTCTCAAGTCCGGTGAGGATCTTTATGAGCATTACTTTAAATTCTCTATCAGACAGATTAGTTATCTCTGTTTCCCTTAGGTCTCCTGCTCTGATTTTGTTCCACTCTTTCATTTGGGACATATTCCTCTGTCTCCTCATTCTGTCTATTGCTGTGTCTGTTTCTATGTGCTAGGGAAGTCAGCTACATCTCCTGCACTTGAAAGTAGTGGCTTTATGAAGAAGAGGTCCTGCAGCGTAACGTCTCTTTTTCACTAGAAAATGTGCTTCAGGAGGTGTCTCCTATGTGTGTTGCTACAGGGGTGTCCTACCATTGTGGCTGGGATGTGTTTGCCTTCAGTCCAGCCTGTGATGGCGCTCTGCCTGTTGTGGGCAGAGTCTGGTGCCTGTGGTGTTAGTGGGCTGGTCCTGAGCTGCCTTGGGCTTGAGTTGAGTCAAACCAGGTGTTCGCCAGAGATGAAGTAGCACCAAACTGCAGGCACTTTCCCTGTATTGTCCCCTGAGAAGCTTTTGTTGATGGGTGGGGCCTGTAGTCAGACCAGCTGCCTGCCGCCAGCCCACTGCTGGGGTCACAGTCAGACTGATGTGTGGTTATCTTCCCCTCTCCCTGGAGCAGGACTCACTTTGGAGTAGTGCTGACCCTTGTCTGGGCTGCGTGCACACTACTGGGCTTGTGGCACTGCTTTGATGGGATCTTGTGAAGAACGATCGGAGTGGGTGGATCTGCTTCTCTGTGGCCTCTTGTCTATGCCAGGCTGCGGAGAGTCTGTTCTGCCAGTTTTCGGGCTGCTTTCTGGGTTATTTATGACGATGTGGGTGGTCTGTAGGCAGCCACATGGCAAGGCATGAGCCCAAGGCCCTCCTACTCCACCATCTTCCCAGCAGCCTCAGACAATGGGATTCTTGAAGATGTCAGAGGTAATGTAGTTTTTGATGATGATGTCAAAAGAATGACCCTGGGGTGCCTGGGTGGCTCAGTCATTAAGCGTCTGCCTTCTTCTAAGGTCATGAGTCCAGGGTCCTGGGATCAAGCCCTGCATCGGGCTCCCTGCTCGGCGGGAAGCCTGCTTCTCCCCCTCCCACTCCCCCTGCTTGTGTTCCCTCTCTGCTGTGTCTCTCTCTGTCAAATAAACAAATAAAATCTTAAAAAAAAAAAAAAAGTATGACCCTGAAATTGGGTGGCTGAGATCAGGTGGAATGAAAGATTATTCTACATGAGGGAGTCAGAGAACTGGGAGACCAGAGTATGGGATTTGTCATCTGTGTGGATGTTGAAGTCACTTAGAGTGGGGCCCACAGGAGGGTTAGAAGGCAAGAGGGGGATCCAGGTGAGAGAATGAATGTGTATTTCCCCCATGAAGATACTCTTGGTCTTTGATTAGACTTGGTAGTATTCTAGAGTCTTTGGCAGATTATATTTTCATTATTATTATTGGGAAACTACTTGGCAACTCATCCACAAAACCTCTTAGGGGGCTTTCTTTTTAGAGATGGCCTGTTGCTGATTTCAGATCATTCCAATTCTGACTTTATCCTCCTAAGAGACCCTACATATTAAAAATACTCAATAATACTTTCAGATCATTCCAATTCTGACTTTATGTCCCCTGAGAGATCCCGAGTTCTCCTGCATATTAAAAATACTCAATAAATCCTAAAATCTTCTCTAGGCTAGTTAATAAAACCTGCCACCTGAATGTGTATATGTGTTTAATATGTAATGTTTATAGTAGGTATGAATCTACTTTTATCTCTTTTTACATAAATGAAAATAAAACATGTTTATCCCTTTAGCCTTTGTATATGTTTATATGATGTGCTACATTTTAATGATTTGTTTCTGCTGGCCGGGCATCTGCAGTGGGTTCTGCAGACAACAATTTTATCTCTGTAAACTTGTATGGAGCATTTGGGCTCCTGCCTGTCTAATCTTATACAGACATCATTAAAAAAAACCGCAAGTCCATGGCCACCCTCCGACCTCCTAGAGGCAGATACTACGTTGCTGACTTCAGGGTGGTCCTTGGAAATGATGTTTTGTTTTGGACCAGGAATATTTTTAAGGGTGTGAAAACATTTGCATTGTGAGCCTCAAGTGAAATCTTGATAATACAGCTCTGTAAAATATTGATGCAAATTTCCTATGTTCAGATTGGCAGAATGTGAAAGGCTCAAGGCTGTTGTGTCGTTTTTAAAGTCACCAGGTTTGCCACGTGAGGTTTGCCTTTTTTTCCTTCACCCCCCCCCAAATTCCTTCAGTCATGCTTGCTTGTTTTCTTTCAGTACTGCCAAATCAGAGAAGCTTTCACAATGCTGCAAAAAGCAATAATTTGGATCTTATGGAGAAGCTGTTTGAAAAGAAGGTTAACATTAATGCTGTGAACCATGTGAGTAGAAGTCACAGATGTGACAAGTGAGTACTCTAAGGGTGGTTTGGATTTACACAGTCTGACTGAAATAATAATAAAAATAAAAATGATTGTGCTGGATGAGGTAAGGGAGAGCTCTGTTGTTGGTTAATTCCAGAATGTGTAAGCTAAAGGTGGAATCAAGCAGAGGAATATAAAATCTTATCAGAGGGGAAATATATAGTCACTATGTGCATCTGTGCAAAGTCTGTGGGTAGGCAGTAAAGCCAGTTGTCAAGGTTATGGGCCTGGACTTGATCCTGGATTGCAGCCTTTGGATCACTGGCCTCACACATTCTGGAAAGGCAGAACATCTTTTGCTTCACAGTTTCGTCACTGCTTTCTCTCCAGGGATGTCCTTTGTTGTTTGGCCTTCCAAATTTAAAATCCAAAGGAGCACGGGTTTGTATTTTATCGCTTTTGAAATATAGTGCCTTTGCATGTCGGACACTGGGGCCTTTTCTAAAGCTTGGCTCTTACTTTATTGTTCTTCAAGTGCCTGGGTTTAGGAGAGAAGTCTACTGCTAGAAATACGAATTTCCTACTGCTTGGTTTTGTAGAGATTTCCTGACAGCTTTTCGGGGCAAGGTTTATCAAAGTAGACAGGTTTAGGGCTGTGTTAATTGCCTAGGACAATCTGTGCAGTGGATCAAAGAGGAGATAACAGAGGTGGATTTAATGCTAAATGAAGCAGAAGTTTTAGTGTCCTTACTGGTACAGACCCCTTCCAAGGCATGGGGGAGGGCTCTAGCAATGTATTCTCATGCTTATATGGTTTTGTAAAATCTAAAAAAGTAAGAAACTTTAATTGCCATCAGTTCAGCTTTTTGACTCTGGCTTTAAAGAGGGCTCTCTAGAGAGTGTAGACTACGTTTCACAACACGTAGATCTGTCCCAGACAGTGACGTCATATGAATTGAAGTCATGCATCATATGCAGTGGAAAGATATTTACTGGTTGTGCATATGTATATGGAAATTTATGTGTCTGTGTGTATATTGTATGCATGTGTATCTCTGATATGGTTATATATAATATTCATTGTCCGTAGGTATCCTAGAAAGAGTAGAAAAATAAAGTTTTGCAGGATAACAATTTTAGGAACCAAACAAAAACAAAAACAAAAAAAAAAGGAAATGAATCAGAAAGGAAAGAATTAAAAAGAAAGAAGCGAGCAGGGGCCTTTGCAAGTAATATCTAGATAAATTGTTGAGTAAGTAAAGCAATAATCATTTTTCCAAGTAGCAGGAAATAGATTCTCTAATGTACTTTTATAATAATTTAAAATTTTTTCACATAAGACTTTCTGATATTTTAAAAAATATTTTATTTATTTGAGAGAGAAAGAGAGCACAGAGGGAGAGGGAGAGGGAGAAGCAGACCCCCCCCCTCCACTGAGCAGGGAGCCCAATGTGGGGCTCCATCCCAGGACCCTGAGATCATGACCTGAGCCGAAGGCAGACATTTAACCAACTGAGCCACCCAGGTGCTCCAAGAAATTCTGATAATTTTAAACCATATTCTTATGTTAAAGTAGTTAAAAAGATTTAATGCTAAATGAAGCATGATTTAGGAGACAATCAGGGCATTTTAACTTATGGTCACTGTGGCAAGTTACCAACTCTCAATGAACTGTATTATACTTTCTAATGACATCTCTTTTAGTCCCATTTACAGCAATTTGTTTACATGGTTACTTGTAGAGTTCCTTAAAATCTGTGATGATAGAGATGAAAAAATATTTATAAGTGGTTTTATTGAATTATCTTGGATGCTGTTTTGGCTTGACATACCAGAACACAACTCTAAATTGCAGACAATGTCAGGATAACTCATGCTTTGTCAAACTCCAGTTTATCATCAATTTAGCTACCAAGGATATCAGATATTTAATTTTTGCAATACTTTATTCGAAACAAAGGAGGAAATCCATGTGCAGGCACCTTCTTTGGAAGCAAAAACAGTGTCTAGAATATGGGAAATATGACATGTGTTTTACTTACAAGCAAAACATCTCTTCTCTGAAACAATGAACTGTCTCTGGACATCCCAGGAGTACCTTGTTGGCTTTCCTTTGAAGCAACAGATAGTCATAGCTTTCTTTTTCTGTGTCTGCATCGTTCTTTTCTTTTCTTTTCTTTTGTCTTCTCTTTCTTTCTTTCATTCTGAAGCAGTATGTTTCAGTAAAATAAACTACAAAAAATTATAGAAGGAAGACCATATACGGGGTTGAATATCTAGGAAAATTTTTGTTTTGCATTATCAATATATTCTAAGCAGAAAAAAATTGCTGTTATTAATAATTGCATATGGGAGAAAATACAACTTTTGCTTTTTATTTTTATTTATTTATTTTTAAAGATTTCATTTATTTGAGTGAGAGAGAGAGAAAACACATGTGGGAAAGGGGCAGAGGGAGAGGGAGAGGGACAAGCAGACACCCTGCTGAGCACAGAGCCTGATGCAGGGCTCGGTCCCAGGACCCTGAGATCATGACCCAAGCTGAAGTCAGACGTTTAACGGACTGAGTCATCCAGGCACCCCTACAACTTTTACTTTTTTTAATTGAAATCCATTATACTGTTACAATCAATCATGGGTTATGCCATGCACATATAAACATATGATAGAAAATTATGGCCGTTTAAGACACAGGAAACATAAAGAGGCTAAATAGCAATTAGATGACTGAAAACACAAATTATGTTTCTTCAGATGAACCGCAAAGCCTTGCATTTTGCAGTGGGGGCAAATGATTTATCTGCGGTGGATTTCTTGCTTAATCATAAGGCAAGAGTGGATATTGCTGATAAGGTAAGCTCACCTTCATTTGGTAGAATGGATTGGAGCATAACCAGTGTATGGGGAAAATCTGGTCACTTCAGTTATCTTTTTTTCACATACACACAGAATATTTCCAAATTCAGTTTTCACTTTGGAAAGATCTCTTTAGGGTGTATTTGGTAACTAAATTGTTTACCTATTACTTGTAGGACTTAGGCTTTTGCTAATTTTCTCATATTGACCTTATGGCCAGTAATATGCATTTGTAAGAATAAGGTGGTTGCCCATAGTATAATTTGGGACATGGGGGACAGAAGCTAACTGGCCTCATGGACATTAAATCTTGACTTTGCTGTGTGAACTCTAATAAAGCTTATTAAGTACATACTATGTACTGGGCACCAGTCTTAGGACTTTGATATTGAGTGCCCAACCTTGTCTCCCAACCTTGTGAGAAAAGTGTTACTAAAAATATACAGTTTTCATAGGAAGAGCCTAAGACAGAGAAGTTGAATATCTTGCCCAATAATTACATCTAAGAAGGGGTGAAGGCAGGATTTGAACCAAGTTTACCTGGTTCCAAAGACCATGCTGTTAGCCCTAAAGCAGCTTAACTATTTGTCTGCCTTGATATCAAAACCCACCCTAAGGATTTTCTCCCTACTTTTCCCAACTTCACTTACTACTTTATCATGGCGCAAGAAAACCACTTGGGCTGGATATACCCAATATCACATTCATCATCTCCAGTTGCAATGAAAGATGATGGTCTTGATTTTTAGAATCCTATGGACTGTGGCTCCTGGTTCTTAGTTAACCAAATGGGCCATTGTTCCTAAAGTGTTCCGAAGGTTTTCACAGAGCTATTCTATTTTGTCTGGATTGACTCATTGGAAGATAAAACTCAGCCCTGCTTTACTTTCATTCTTCCAGGTCCTGGGTTTAGTATGTGCTTAGTAAATCTTTGGAAGATGAGTAAATGAAGTCAGATCAAACCAGCTGGTCATATTGTTGGTTTTGTTGGTGTAGACATGGCCTAGACATGATAATGATGAAATTTTTTTTTGTTTTACGAGGGGAGCACATCCTTCTCTGTTTTATTCCTCTGAGATTGGTAGGCAAGTCAATTGATATGTAATAGAATCAGAATGAAGAAGTACCCCTTACTAAAAATTGGCACTGAAAGCACTCCAATTTTGTGAGGGTAATAAGTTGTATTATGGTTATTGTACTTAACATGTTGTTTGGGTCTGGAAATTCTTATTTGATTATTTTGCAATGTTAGCCTGCAAAAGATGACTTGGTAATAGACCTGATTGCCAAGAGTCTATTCTTAATTTTGACGTTGAAACCCTGATACAGTAACTTTTTATTTTAATTTTTAAATTGACCGTACAATTTTCTTTCTTTTTGGTGTACAGTTATATGAATTTTAATGTATGTGTAGATTCATGTAATCACCAGCATAATCAACATACAGAACAATTGCATCACCCAGAAAATATCCTCATGCTGCATCTTTGTAGTCAAACCTTTACCCACCCTGGAAACCACTGATCTCTGCTCCATCTCCATAATTTTGCCTTTTTAAGAATGCCATATAAATGATGTCATATAGCATATAACATTTTGACACTGGCTTCTTTCACTCAGCAAAATCTCTCTGAGATTCATTCACATTATATGTATCAATAATTCCTCCCTTTTTGTTGCTGAATAGTATTTTAGTATATAGATGTGCCACAAGTTTATTTATGCACTCACCTGTTGAAGGATGTTAGAGTTGTTTCAGTTTTTGACTATTACAATTAAGCTGCTATCCCTTTCACGAAGATGGCGCCAAAGGCTAAGAAGGAAGCCCCTGCACCTCCCAAAGGTGAATCCAAAGCAAAGAATTTGAAGGCCAAGAAAGCAGTGCTGAAAGGCGTCCACAGTCACACAAAAAAAGATGATCTGCACATCAACTACCTTCTGACGGCCCACGACACTGCATTTCCGAAGGAAGCCCAAATATCCTCGAAAGAGTGCCCCCAGGAGAAACAGGCTTGACTGCTATGTCATCATCAGGTTCCCCCTAACTACTGAGTCAGCCATGAAGAAAACAGAAGAGAACAACACACTTGGGTTCATTGTGGTTGTTAAGGCCAACAAGCACCAGATCAAACAGGCTGTGAAGAAGCTCTATGACATGGATGTGGCCAAGGTCAACACCTTGATCAGGCCTGATGGAGAGAAGAAGGCATATGTTCAACTGGCTCCTGACTATGATGCTTTGGATGTTGCCAATAAAATTGGGATCATCTGGGCACCTGAGTGGCTCAGTTGGTTAAGCGACTGCCTTCGGCTCAGGGCATGATCCTGGAGTCCCGGGATCGAGTCCTGCATCGGACTCACTGCTCAGCAGGGAGTCTGCTTCTCCCTTGGACCCTCCCACCCTCATGCTCTCTCTCTATCTCATTCTCTCTCTCAAATAAATAAATAAAATCTTAAAAAAAAATTGGGATCATCTAAACTGAGTCCAGCTGGCTAAATCTAAATGTAAATTTTTATACAAACAACAACAAAATGAATAAAGTTGCTATCAACATTTGTGTACCAGTTTTATGTAGGCGTAAGTTTTCATTTCTCTAGTATAAAGCCCTAGGAGTGAGATTACTGGGTCATGTAGTAAGCTGTATACAAGAAGCTGCCAGACTATTTTCTGTAGTGGCTGTGCCTTGCATTCCCAGCAGCAGTGTTACAGAACTCCTTTGTTCTACATCCTCATCAGCTCTTGTAGCTTTCATTTTTTTCTCCTCAATGTTTGCCTTTCTAATGGGTGTGTATTGGCATTTCCTTGTGATTTTAATTTGCATTTCTTTAATGGCTAATGATATTGAGCATCTTTCTTGTGCTATTTACCATTTGTATATTTTCTTTGGTGATGTGTCTATTCAAATCTTTTGAGTACTTTTTTTAATAGAGTTGTTTGTTTTCTTACTGTTTGGTTTTGAGAGCTCTTTATATATTCCAGATACAAGTCCTTTGTTAGACCTGTGATTTGCAAGTATTTTCTCACACTCTGTAGCTTATCTTTTTCACAGAGCAAAAGTTTTAAATTTTGATGAATTCCAACTTATCTGTATTTTAAATCTTTTTTAAAAAGGATTTTATTTATTTGACATAGAGAGAGAGAGTACAAGCAGAGGGAGAGGGAGAAGCAGGCTCCCCACTGAGCAGGGAGCCCAATGTGGGGCTCGATCCCAGGACCATGAGATCATGACCTGAGCTGAAGGCAGCCACTGAACAGACTGAGCTACCCAGGCACCCCCCAACTTACCTGTATTTTAAAAATGAATCTAGGTGTTGTGTTATATCTAAGAAAGACTTGCCTAATGTGTCATGAAGATTTTCTCATATTTTTCTTGTAAAATGTTTAGAGTTGTGTGTTTTACATTTAGATCTATTGTCCATTTTGAGTTATTTTAAGTATAAAGTATGAGGAATAGGTCAAGGTTCTTTTTTTTCTTGCAGAGGGATGACCAGTTTCTTCATCATTTGACACCAGTGTCACTTCAGGTTTCAGCACTTTTGCAGTGCTCTTTGGACCTGCCCCACGGGTCCAGTCTGAGACCTGGGCAGTGGTCTGCCCCATAGTTCAGCATTCCAGGGCTTTGTCATGTTGTGTAGGGTCTGGTCCATGTACGGATCGGAGTGAGGCCTCACACACAACTTTATGGGCTTACTTTCTCAAGCTTCCACCTCTCCAGCCTCATCACCCCCACATTCCCCGGCTCCAGGGCCCCTCCTCCCCTTTTCCTGGTGTTCTGACTAGAAAGTCAAGGGGGTGGTCTCTGAGCTCGGCTATGTACTTCCCATGATTAGGTCTGCCTCTGGGACTGAGGGAGAAAAATAAGGAACATGGGTCCCACCCCACCCACTCTTATGACCACAGTTCCTTTGGTCCGAGAGGATTTCTCTGTCAGTTTTAGGTGCTTGCCCACTTAGTGCTGTTGCTGTCCCTTCTACCACAGGGTTCCAGCTTTGGGAGTGAGGCTTGCCTGGAACAGGACCAGAAGAGAATAGAGAAACAGTATTTCCCCTACTTTCTCTGTCTTGCTCCTTAGCCCAGAAAGAGAGGGCTTCTCTTGGAGTTCTTTCTGTCTGTGCCCAGAGCACACTTCTGTGACTTATACTGCCTTGAGTTCAAGCTGGAAGATGTGGAAGGAAAAAAACAAAAACCAAATCAGGAAACCCTCTTTGTTTATATTTTTGAGTTTTGGTTTACTTCCCAATCTACCTGCTACCATTTACTTCTCAGAGTCCTCAAATAGCTACTCCATGCATTTTGTCTGGAGATTTCAGTCACATCTGGTGAGAGAGACAGTGTACTTACTCCATCGTACCCAAGACCATAATCCCAAATCTTTAACATACTAAAAAGTGGAAGGAATTGTACAATGAACACTTACACATCCATTGCCCAGGTTGATAGCATCTTTTCTTTTACACAGCATGTCTGAGGATCACCATGTTTCTAATATATTAAATACACTACTGGTTTCTGTCAGAGTGTAAGTCAGTTATTCCTGAAATGATGAAGAGATGTTCTACCAACTTATTCTTTTTGAGGCTTTTCCAAACATACATTTGGAAGCTAGCATCAGCTTTTTTGTAATTTGGTCTTGTGAGATTGAAATGCTGTCAGATGGGAAATATGGTATTAGTACATATATATTCCAGATGTATCTCTGTACTCCACCTTGAAAGTTTCACTAAGTTTAATATTTCTATAACTTAATTATTCACAGTGGTATTAGAACATAACTAATAAATTGCTTTTTATAATTCAAGCAATGCTGTGTTTGGTCAAACTTTCTTTATCTGGGTCATGAGCCTTGAGTTTGTCTTGGCAGATCTGTCTTCTAACACCTATTTGTAAAGAGCCAAAAATTGAACCCCTTCACCATCAGTATTTATTCATTGCCTGCTCTGGGTAAGTCTCAATGCCAACTACTGGGGATTTAACAGCATTTAAGTTCTTGTTACTCAAAGTGTCGTCCTGAGACCAGAAACACTGGCATTTCTTCGGAGCTTGACATGCAGAATCCCAGAGCCTACCCCAGACCTCCTGAATCAGAATCTGTGACTTAACAAGATCCCCAGGTGATTGTGTCAGGAAGCACTGGCAGGAGATACAGTCCCTGCTCAGAGGGGTGTACAGTCTATTAAGGGAGCAAGGACCAAGACCATTGACATGATGTATCTTTCAAGGCACTGCAAGCTAAGGATCAAATGCATGGCCCAGGTGCTGAGAGCTTCAGGTTCAAAGTTGGTGGCATCCCTGAATCTTGGGAACAGGCACACTAGATAAATGGAGGCTCTTACTCCAGATGTGAATCAAGGATCCCAGATGGAGAGCAGGTGGCGTTTAGAGGATAATGACAGGCATCAGCTCTCAGAGCTTCTTATCTCTGGGAAGGTATTCCGTGCATGTGCTCCTCAGGGGAAGTTAATGACCTTCTCACTTGTGATCACACTGGTGATAGGGACAGAGTGTCACCGACGGTGGACCTTTTACACTTTACAGAGCATTCTGTACACTCTGAGTGTAATCCATGACACATGCTCACAAACTGTCCTAGGCATGTCAGTTTATTGTCACAAGACATAATTTTATGAATATTTTTGTAAGGGAACTAACATTTGTGAGCAGTGATTCTTTTCCTCTGAGGAATGATGGTTCCACTTGGAATATATGGCTTCAAACATTCCTGTTGTTGGCAGTTTGAATTCCTGGCTCTTGGATTTTATGATTAGTGTTTGAAATCTTTCAGTGTTGCCTGCTTTGAAATTAGGAATGACCTATTAGGAAAAAATAGAGCTCCTATCAAAGTGTGAATTATCTTCTTTCAAAAATATTTCTGGGGGTGCCTGGGTGGCTCAGTCGTTAAGCGTCTGCCTTCGGCTCAGGTCATGATCCCAGGGTCCTGGGATCGAGCCCCACGTTGGGCTCCCTGCTCCGCAGGAAGCCTGCTTCTCTCTCTCCCACTCCCCCTGCTTGTGTTCCCTCTCTTGCTGTCTCTCTCTCTCTCTCTCTGTCAAATAAATAAATAAAATCTTTAAAAAATATATTTCTGACTTATTTTTTGACATATGTGAAACTGGATTTAGTATTCCTGAATAGAGACCATTAGTTTGTAGAGAAGAGCAATTAAGGAGTAGAATTGTATTTAGGGCACATTTCTTGAAAAACCTCAACTAGTTATTGTACATCATTAGTCCTTGGGAAAAAGTGCAGAAATTGGTGAGCACTTTCTGCATATTGGAATTGTAAATATATAAATAGGCTTGAATAGACTAACTCACTGGGTAGTGTGGCAGCCGAAATGTAAATTTTATAGAGTATGACATTTAAAGCAGGGTTTATCAACAGTGGCCCTATGACATTTTGGTCAGATGATTTTTTGTTGTTGTTGTGGGAGGCTGTTTGGGATTATAAAATGTTTTGCGGTATCTCTGGCTTCTCCCCACTAAATGCCAATATCTCCACTCAGCCCCAGCAATCAAAAGTATCTTCTGACATCTCCAAATGTCCCCTGGAGGCAAAATTGCCCCTCTCCCCCACTGAGAACAACTGAGTTAGAGTTACACCTCAATAATCTGGGATTTCCTTTTCACTTCTCTGTATCTGTACTTCCCTGAGAAGCAGAGAATACGTTAATGCAGTTTCTGTGGTAGCCAAAGTAAATGCCAAAAGGCAAATGAAAGTGCCCCCCACAGACCCTCCTTCCTTGTTGATTTAGTCATATTGTATACATCTAGCAAACTGGTTTCATGGCTTACAAAGTCAATTAAGATGCAAATAAGATGTGCTGAGAAGGCTTACTTTTTGGAAGGATGGCATTCAGAAGGCATTTAGAAGGACTTTAACAGAGCACTGGATGATTTTTTAACAGAGATGAAAGGAAACAGAGAAGCAGACACAGGAACTTACAGGTAAGGAACCTGAGGCTGAGTGTTAACTAGAACATAGTATTTGAAGTAGGAGAGCCAAATTGAAGGTCAGTTTCTTTTGACTCTACAGATCACACTCATAAAGTGTGCTCTATATTACTTCTCTAACTTGGGGCCTAGGATGCAAGTCCCAGCTTTCCTAGTTTAGTACCCTCCAATTCCACCTTCCTGAGATAGCCAATGTTAACTGCTGGCTCTTTCCTTTCACACTTTTCTCCTGCTCATTCAGTCTACAAGTCTAACTGCCCACAGCGTCCCGAAGGGTCAGTAGGTCCTTACTGAGTCTCTGTCAGTCTATTCCATGCATGTGTGCATGCACATGCACACCTATATAATTTTTAGAGAGAGTATTTCAAATGATTTATATAGAAATAGGGTTCTTTTTATAACCTCAGTCTTCTCTGTTTTTTCTTTTTTGTGCACCTGCTCCTTCTCCAGTAACTACCTTTAACAACGCGGAGAATGTGTGTTTATTTCTGTACTTTTGCTCATGCTCAGTAATCATATCTATATTGGCAGCGCACATCTATCTATCTACGTGCCCACCTTAGACAGATATAGATACATATGTGTACACATGTGAGTTTTTGTCGTTGCTTGTTTTATAAAAAATGGGATTATATTTTTTTGTGCATCTTATTTTTCACATTTAACAGCTACCTCGGAAATCTCTCCAAGTCAGTTTTTATCGCTCTAACTCATTATTTGTAATGGCTGCTTGATGTGATATGACTGTGCCCTAATTTGCTCAGCGTTCTTATATTGATGGACATTTACCTTGCTCTCCTTTTTAAGGGTTACAATTAATATCCTTGTTTACATAACATTAGGTTCTAAAACTCTTTTTCAGGGGATAGATTCCTAGTAGTGGGATTGCTGGTTGAATTGAAAATTTCAATAGCTATTGCCAGATTGCTGAAACCATAATTGTTCATTTCCACTAATACCTTAAGAGAGCACCTTTTTTCGGTCCACTTTTTCAATTGGTTTAATTGCCTTCTTTTTGTTGATTTGTAAGAGGTTTCATGTATTAGAAAAAGTAACCATTTATCTTTATTAAAATACATTTTTAAAAATCTATCATTTGTTTCTTGACTTTATCATCTTTCCTTTTATAACTTGTGGATCAAGACACTGTACCTTACAGTCTAGATTTTCTTCTAATATTTTTGTGTGCTTTTGTGTGTGTGTGTATAATATGATATAGGATTTAATTTTATTTTCTTCCCTGTAGAGAATGACTTGTGCCTGTACCACTTATTAAATGTCTTCCTTTCCCCCATAGAATTGAAGTATCACATTTGCTGTATATTAAATTTTTTCCCTATTTGTTAATTTTCAACACTTGAGTATTATCTTGGCCTTTGTTAACTGAGGTAGTGTGTTGTAGCTCATTCCAGTGATAGACGCTTTTCTTTTTTCTTCTTGGGGAAGCACGGCTTGACAGTAGTTCACCTTGCAGCCTGGTCTGGAAGTCTCGAGATCATGCTCATGCTCATTAGAGCTGGAGCAGACCAGAGGGCCAAGAATCCGGTAGGTATGTGGGTCACACCTGGACATAGTTCTCCCTGCCCCAGTGCAGGATGGGGAAGCTCTCAGATCATTGTGTATATATGTCCCCCACCTTGGCTCTCTTCAGGATGGAATGAATGCCCTCCACTTTGCAGCTCAGAGTGATAACGTACGCATCGTGGAGTACCTCGTTCAAGATTTGCATTTGAAGGACCTGGCCCAGCCTGATGAGGTGTGTTTGCTATAGCAGGACAGGTCCTATGCATACCGCCCCCAAATTCCTCTTTCTTCCTACTCCTGCTAGAGCTGTCAAAGCAGCCAGCACAGACAGACCTGGCCCTATAGCTAGCTCCTCCATCACTCTGGCAGAGGACAGAACAGATGAGAAGTGTTGGTGTTGGTGGGGCCCCAGGCATCTCCTGTGGGAAGGGCAGGAAGTATTGAGCAAGCATCCAGATTCTTTTTTCCCTCCCGGTCCCCTCGTCCTGGCTGACTGTGGACAGCATCCACCCTATTTTGTATTCAGAATGTATGTTTGCATTTTACTCCATTATGCTTGGCCTTTTGGGAGTGTATTTGATCCAAGACTATGAAGTAATGGAATCATGGAATATAATGCGGTGTTACCATATTTGTGTACATTCTTTTTCTTTTCATAAGGAGATAGATATATACTAATAACAGTCACCACCTATTGAGTATTTATTAGTGTTGCTAGGTACAGAGGAAAGCTATTTACATACATTATTTCATTGAGATGTCTAGGGCCTGGTGTATATGGATGCTTAACAAATCATTGCTGAATGAATGAATTATCCTGTTAATTCCCATAATTCCCATAATCATATACAGAAAGATTTTGTTTATTTTTAAAGGTGATGAATTTGAGGTTCAGAGAAGCTAAGTACCTCGTCCAATGTCCCAAAACTGGAAAGTGAGAGCTAGGATTTGAATTCAGGTCTAGCTGACCCCAGTCACCATGCCGGCATGCTGTCCTGTCTCCCTTCTCAGATGGGCATTCCCTATGTGCCAGGGACTGTCTTTTTCCTGGAATATCTTCTTCTAGACTTTTCTCTAGGCTTTTCTCTCCCCTGTTCTGTCTAGGGGAGAATACCCTGTGAGACTGAACTTTTGATTTCAAATGGGACCTCCTTTTCACTGTGCCTAGAACATTATTCTCCATAAAGTCTCTCCAGAAATTAAGCAGTAATACCTCATTTCACCTGTTGTAAAAAACTTTCACATTCTTTTCTGACCTTAGTTTTTTTTTTTTTAAAGATTTTATTTATTTATTTGACAGAGAGAGAGAGCACAAGCAGGGGTAGCGGCAGGCAGAAGGAGAAGCAGGCTCCCCACTGAGCAAGGAGCCTGATGTGGGGCTCCATCCCGGGACCCAGAGATCATGACCTGAGCTGAAGGCAGATGCTTAACCGACTGAGCCACTCAGGTGTCCCTGACCTTAGTCTTAACAACAACAACAACTCTTTCTTCAAATGAAGTCTATAAATTTGTTTTACTTCCTCTGAGTATGACTGAGTAACTATACATTTACAGCTTAGAGGCAGACAGACTTGGACTGTGGTCTGGGCATATATATTAGCTATGAGCTTTAAGCAAGTTTTCCAACTGCTGAAAGCCTCAGTGTGTATAAGGGATGATTGGGGAGGGGGGTGTTTTGGCTTCCATATAATTTTTATCAGCAATACCTCCATGGTTTCATATAGATGATTGATATTTCCCCAGTTTTATGTAAAAAGGCCTGTGCCATTGAACTTCATTGTTAAGCCATTCCACCACCCCTTTCCAGTCACACGCTACCCCTAAGCCGTTCCTACATAGCAATATTGGAACAGCCACTGTTGGGATGTTTGAATGAGTTAATGAGTATAAAGCACTTACTTAGCCAAGAGCCTGATACATGGTAAGTGCTCACTAAATGGTAGTTATTATGACAATTATTATAGGATAAAATACACTGATATCCTCTAATTGATAATCATAGTCAAATAGTGACACAGTGAGGAAGTTAGATCATTCTAGTTTGATTGATGCTAAGTAGGGATGCGACCTGTGAATGAATTCCACTCAGTTCAATTTAGCAGATCTTTGTTGAGGGCCTGTTATCTAGGAGACACATGACAGTCTTCCCTTTCAGTGGGCTCTGGCTGATTTCACAGGAGACAGCAGGGTGTGGGGAGGATCAGGTAGGCTGAAGGGGCTCAAGGACCAGAGCAGGTTTCTGGGAAGTCTTGGCCACATCTGCAGCTTCTGCTGGCCAGCAGCCTTCTTGGCCACCATCTCTTTAGCTGGCTCTGGGGCTGTCCTGTCCCCACCCCTCTCCCTCCTCCCCTGTGTGTTGGGAAAAATGCGGAGGAGTCTTGGCAGCAGACTCTGCAGACATGTCCAGCTGAGAGATGTTAAAATTAAGATGGATTCAGAGACATATGAGGAATGAGCAAATAATGAGTCCCCTGGCTCATTTAGGGAGAGAAGAATCTCTGAGTCCACTTTTAGTTCTGTAAGAAACCTAGATGGATCAATGCAAAAGACAAAGTCTTCTCTTTTTCTGAGATCTGTGAGTGGGTCAAGGATGTTGGCAAAACCCAATAGGATCTGGGATCAGGAGCTCAAGGTGTACTAATTCATCATTAGATTTTTCCATCTGTGTTTGCTTAAAAGTACTGTGGAACTCACTGAATGCATTTGATAGAAATGACTGCTTCACCTTCACAGCTGGTCCTCTTGCCTACTTTCTTCTCAGCAGAAAGTGATGGAGAGCCTGCTGACCTGACCAGCATTGGCAAAATTCTCTTTAGCCCAGAGGGAACTCCAAAAGCTAGCAAGGAAAGCCTTGTGGGGAGGAGGTCTTTATTAATAAAAGAGATTTCACTAGGCCCAGAGGAGTGTGGGTGGGGATGAGAGAGATGGAAGACACTGGAAAATATTTTGAGGTTTCTTCCAGCTCTGTGGCCTCTCCAGGGGAGAGAGATTAGAGCAGCCAGGAGAAGTTATTGGTAAAGTAGTATAGATGTTTTGAATCTACATGTGAACTTCCATCTAGTGGTCAAAATAAGTACTCAAAATGTTTGGGGTGGAGCAGGGGCAGAGAAAGGAATGGCCTTAGAGTATATGAATAGTTGTTGAATATTTTCATAAGAGTTTGGTGGTACCCTGTTAGGTTGGTTTCAGCTGTAGACTTATGGGAACTTCCATTGGTTTAAAGGAATCTTATAGGAAGTCTTTAAAGATCAAAATGCAAAGAAGCTTCCCTTTTTGGAGGGTTGGGAATAATGAGCATGAGGGGATTTGGGAAGACATACCTACTTACATGGACCTGAAGCCGGTATTTAAGGGCTCCAGTGTGCAAGGGGGGGACCTCACCCACCCACCCTAGTTTCATGACTGCATATTTAACACGCTGCTCCTTCAGCACTTTTTTTTTTAAAAAAGAGAGAAAGAGACAGCGTGAGAGAGAGAGAGCACAAGCCGGGGGGGTGTTGGGGGGCGGGAGGGAGAAGCAGACCCCCGCTGAGCAGGGAGCCCAAAGCGGGGCTCGATCCAAGACCCTGAGATCGTGACCTGAGCCAAAGGCAGACGTTTAACCGACGGAGCCACCCAAGCGCCCCTCCTTCGGCACTTTTTAATTCATGGCAACTTTCTTTTTCCCTCTCAAATCTCTAATTATTAAGGAACCTGCTCGGTTTTCCCTTATGCCAGGGTTCTGTTGTGAGGGTCACAGGGTAACGGGAAATGTCGTGGGGGGTAGACCTGCACACGGGGCACTGGGGGGCTTTGTGCTGGGTTCTCCCTGGTTTCCTCTCAGAGGCTCTCCTCCCATCATCTCTGGGGTCGCTGTGGGAAAGGATGGTCAGTTTGGACTTTGGGTAGCCATTTATAGTGGCTGTTTATGAAATTTTTGCTGAATTTGTTAACCTGTCAGATTTGATAACCCTGCTAATAAACTTAAAAATGAAAAATAATTTCTAATAAACAGTTGCAACCTCTCAGACTTATTCACATGCTAACAATTTAAATACATTGAATTAAAACAGGTTAAATAGACATTGTGTTAATTAAGGAAAAAAGATAACAGAAATTCTGGCCCCTCCTTATTTTCATTAATTAGGAAAGGGAATCGGGATCCTGAGCTGGGAAGGCACTGTGGTTTCTCTGAAACGGGAATTCTGACGCCAGGTTCCACTGTCCTGGCTGGAAGATCTCCCTGCCTTGCAGGTAGGAGTCAGTCCCGGGGGACTGTACTGGCTAGAGGCCAACCTGAATAGCATTTTAGAAGGGTTTGGTGGTTAAAAAAGGAAATAAGACATGGTAAGAAACTATATATTTTTTTAAAAAACATGTATTTTTAAAGTTGATGTTATTTTCTCTAATAATGTAGGCTAAAATGGGAGAAAAGATTTATATCTCATTTTACTGTCACTTCATCTTTATTCTACCTTCTGATATGTTTCTAAGATATGGATTACTTTAAATGCCCTTATTTTGTGTAATTTGGCTTTCACATTTTTTTTTTCTTGCTGATAACATTTTTAAAGGGCATCCAAAGTTTAAAGTAATAGCTGTTTTCTTGGTGAGGAAAAATATTTCATCCGTGATAACCTCCTATTTCTTATCAGATTAGGCTTTCTTTGGGGGTGGGTCCTCTGTCACTTTGTTTAGCCATGCAGAAATGCAAGTCTTTGTAGCAGCCAAGGGTAAGAGTAAGGGCATTTTATTTTTTTTAAGATTTTATTTATTTATTAGAGAGAAAGAGTGTGAATGCAGGAGCAGGGGGAGGGGCAGAGGGAGAAGCAGGACTTGATCCCAGGACCCTGGGATTGTGACCTGAGCCGAAGGCAGATGCTTAGCTGACTGAGCCACCCAGGTGCCCCCAAGAGTAAGGCCATTTTAAAGTTGAACAGATGAGCACTTGGTGTTATACACACCTAATAAGTCGTTGAACACTACATCAAAAACTAATCATGTACTATATGCTGGCTAACTGAACATAATTTTTTTTTAAAGATTTTATTTATTTATTTGACAGAGAGAGACACAGCGAGAGAGGGAACACAAGCAGGGGGAGTGGGAGAGGGAGAAGCAGGCTTCCCGTGGAGCAGGGAGCCCGATGCGGGGCTCGATCCCAGGACCCTGGGATCATGACCTGAGCCGAAGGCAGCCGCTTAACAACTGAGCCACGCAGGTGCCCCTAACTGAACATAATTAAAAAAAAAA